ATATATACATATATTCTTCTTTATTCAATACCCGTTTTTTTTTTGTAATTTATGTTTTTTGGCTTACGTCTGATAGCGACTTAAGAGACTTTTTGAAAAACTTAGAACTTTTAAAACAGGCTGAAATATAACTTATTTCACTTTCTATTTCTTTAGGTGAACAAATGCAAAAAAAAGCAATATTGTATAAGTCTTTTAATGTACCCATTTTTCATCTTTCTATTTTTCACAAACTGAGGAAGTGAAACATCGTTCCATAGGATTTATTTTAAGAGCACAAGAGAAGCTGAAGTTGTTCAGCAGTTTATTAAGCTATAGGTTATGAAAACAGGAACAAAAATTTCATATTAAAGTATTTATGTTATTCTCAAAAAGCATTTTACTTTGACATGTGCACATTTTAACAAAAACAACATTCTTAATCAAAAAAGAAGTATATTACACATTTCAACTTTTTTTTTTCATAAAAATAAAGTTCAAAAGAAGCGTACATCACAATTACTTTTCATGTAGGAGTGTTTGATTCTGACGAGACCCATCACATTAGATTAAAAAACAGCAATTAGTTAAAAACAAACATCAGTATAAGTTACTCACACTGAAAACAATTCCTAATTCTACAACACCCAGGTAAATTGAGAAAACAAATGTATTATTAAATTTATTAAATGAGTTCATAAAAATAAAGAAAGAAAATAGTTTTTACCTTCAACATTCTTTCATGACTGCACACATATAAACCAGTCAAAATCATTTAAAACTTATGGCAGATCAAAGTGAATAGATTTATCATTTCAAACTACATAAGCAAACACTGAATGGATGCGATTCTTATTCCTTCCCAAATGTCATGCTCGTGTGCAACATCCATAATGCTATAGTTTAATTTCAATCAACCACTTAAAGACTGTCGCTACTCTCTGTGGGTTATGCCTTGACAAAAAACATGATTGTTTGAATATCAAAGACAATTTGAAATTGAAGATTTAGGATGAAACTTATTAAAAAAGTAACTTGTATAATAAACATTTTTAACTGTGACACAAATATACAAGATTATTTATCTCTGAATGCAAAAACCAAACTTAAAATGCATTCAAATTCCTACATTTTGCAGTAACACTCTCTCTATGCTCTGTACTAGATTGCAACCAAATTAAGAATATTCCTTTATTCGGCATCATTTTGTAGTTATTATAAACCAATTCTTCAGAATTGTCACATTTTTGACCGAAATTTATAGATTATACATGCTTTAATCAAAATCTACATTAAACCTCAGTTTTGTCTCACAATACATGCAGTAAAAAAGCTTACTATATCTGCAATGACCTTTTTCTTTGTGTTATAAATGTTTATAATGATTTCAGGAAGGTATCTTCATACTTAAAGTGCTACATTTTTTCCTTGTACCAGGAGAGACATCTATGAACAGCCCTTTCCCAGTTTAAAATAACTTCTTTGTACTCATTTTTCCAATTCTCACAAGGTGAGAAAACCCGGTCTTCATAACGCAGATGTTCTAATTCTTCTAAGGAGTTCCAAACACCTGAGTGGAAAACATCTATTAAAACAAGCAATGTTGCTTAATCCACTGACAATCATTTCCTATTTCTTACCAATACCATGTGCTTTGCAAAAAATAAATATAAATACAAACTTATCAAAAGCTATGCTAAAGAATAGGTTTAGTTTTGTTAACCTCACAGTATCATATTTATTATCACCATTAACTATATACCTTCCTCCATACCAAGAGTAATTGAACTAGATAAGTTACTTTAACTGATGAATAAAAACAATTATAGAATACTTAAAATAAAAGATATTCCATCTTTGTATATGATAACACTTAAAACTGTTTTCTAAGAAGGTGCAAATTCATTCATACAGATAAAATTACAGTATCTTAAAAACAGGATGCCTTACAAAAATATCAAAGGGAATATTTTTCTGTCCATGATAATATATACCCTAGTGTTGTTTTTCAAGAGTAATTAACATTGAGCAAAGATGCTTTTAAAAAAAATTCTGTACCGACTGCTAGCCCTGCTAGAAATGCAGCCCCTAAGCATGACATGTCTCGTTGTTTAGGTCGATTCACAGGATGCTCTGTTAAATCAGCTACCAACTGTACCAAAAAGTCATTGTTGGAAACCCCACCATCAATTCTATTTCAAGAAAAAATAAATATTTTAGCTATTTTAACACCAAGTGAAATGATTATATAAAGTTCCATAACAAATCAAGTAAACCACTTGTCTAATAGAAATGTTTTTTTTTAAATGTACCAAAATAATACACAGATATAACCAAAATAGATTTAAAATATTTTCAGGAGAATAATTATTCTAACTACATTTTTTATCTTCAACTATCCAAGATACCTTAATCCTACACATCTGGCTACCAAACCAATTTATTACATTGTGTGTATTCTTTTCTAGATATTTTTCACTATGTATGTTCTTCAAATGTGCCACCAAGATTTAATTTGAAAAAAAATGTAATTCTTTTTCCATGAGGAGATAAATGTAAGAAAAGAAAATTAGAATGCTCAATGAAAGATATTTGAAAACAACTTTAGTTGACTTTATCTGTCAGCAACGTAAATCCTGAATATGAACACTCACATTAATCTTTATTAGATTTTGAAGTCAAAACTTTTATCTATCTTCAAAAGCAAAAATATGGTAATATCTATAGATTTACATCTATATACTTAACAAAAAAAATAAAAAACACTGCTCGTGTGTTTGCACAGAACTTTTTTTTTTTAATCTAAATAGTGACCTATGAAGTTTTATTACAATTTGCTATCTAGAAGTCTATTGTACAGAAACTAGATGTCTACAGTCTAATGAATAAACACACAATGTTATCATTACCCCTAAACCTTTTAGGTGAAGGGGTAAAGATATTTCAATAAAATATCAGTATTTTTATTCATGACAAAACTACGAAGGCAACCTGCTGTTATCCCTAATTTTGAACTACTGACCAGAGGAAAGGCAGCCACTAAGAAGCACCCCACCACCCACCATCAATGCTAAGAGATTGACTGAAACTGTTATAATGCACCTACAGCTTAATGTATTGGTGATATTTTGTGGCATTATTGCATAGATTTCAAAATATCGGAAAAAAAACGTGTTTATGACTTAAACACTGTACTAAAATTAGATGCGAGTCTGCTACATCATCTTAAACACCAGAATACACAACAAACTGTAGCAACTATAGTTGATGTACCTTAGTTACAACAGTGCTCCACTAGTTGATTTTTAAAACATATTACACACCACAGCATTGTTTAAAAACCTTTAAATAACACTATAGTCTCATGTAGTCTTTCTACAATAGTACAAATCTAGAAAACTACTACATGTTTTACTTTTTCAAAATCATACATTTTCCCATCTGCCGAAATACCAGTTTTTGTACAGTAGATAGAATAATAATAAAAATATATGAAACATAATTGTTAATTGTAAAGTTTGTTTTAACAAGTAATAGGAAATAATGAGCACTTCCTTGTGTTTTGCTAAACTACAATTATGTAGTTCATGTGCATTGGAAAGAAAAATAAAATTATCAAACAATTAGGATGTCCTATTTCTATAACAGTGGTGTACAGGCTGACCTAAGGACTTAAACTATAATAATATATATATTATTTCTAATGTTAAGTTGTACAAGTTGTAAAGGGATTGAATCCTAAAAACTGGGTTGTATGTTCTATTAAAACACCCATAACTCTGTTAAAACAGTCTCTAAAGATAACAGTACCTAAAACTGTTGGAACTTACCGTAAGTAGTTAAGCTGAAAGTTTGCTCCTTCTAAAATTGCTTCATACATCTGTTTGATTCTAAATGCTAAGGATTCCAACAAAGCCCTAGCCATGTGAGCTCTTGTACTTCTGTTTGTTAATCCAATAAAACTATAGCCTGCTAGGGAGTCATTTACAGGAGCCTAGAAAAATATTTTTTTACATAATTAAAAAAAAAAAAACTAACATAAATACAGAAACTAACCACTAGTATAACTAAGTTTTACTTGGTTCGACAAAAGTAAGTTAAATTAAGACAACAAGTAACTAAGTACTTACCTACGTAACTATTT